AGAGAAACATCAAGCTTAGGGGAATTTATCCTTTTTTATAGTAAGTGGTAAGCAAATCTGCTCTTTGTCTGTGGGCACACATTAACTCATCCCTCAAGGTAGCTTACTGCAAACAGACCCTGAGAAATGTCCAGGTAAAGAGGAGTCAGGACCTTGCATCCTTTTCATATCTAGCAAAAAAAAAAAAAAAAAAATTGTGTAGAAATGCTCAGAGATCATGGTGGAGTGCTTCATCATACATGCATAACAAGTGATAATAGTTATAATACATAAAGAATTCCTAGAATTCAGCACAAAACAAAATCCGAAAATTTTTAAATGGGGGATAGGCATAAAAGGACAATTCACAGAAGAAATGCAAATAGCCAATAAACTTATAAAAGATGTCCAGGTAAAGAGGAGTCAGGACCTTGCATCCTTTTCATATCTAGCAAAAAAAAAAAAAAAAAAATTGTGCAGAAATGCTCAGAGATCATGGTGGAGTGCTTCATCACACATGCATAACAAGTGATAATAGTTATAATACATAAAGAATTCCTAGAATTCAGCACAAAACAAAATCTGAAAATTTTTAAATGAGGGATAGGCATAAAAGGACAATTCACAGAAGAAATGCAAATAGCCAATAAACTTATAAAAGATGCTTCACCATTAGTAAGGAAAAGGCAAAATAAAAGAAGCCATTTTCCATATGTCAGATTGGCTATATTAATTTTTTTTTAAGAGACAAGGTCTCACCATGTAGCCCATGCTGGAGCAGCAGCTATTCACAATTCCACTACGGATCAGCACAGAAGTTTTGAACTGCTCCCTTTTCTGACCTGGGCTGGTCACCCCTCCTTAGGCAACCTAGTGGTCTCCTGCTCTCAGCACTTAACCATATTGATACTGAACTTAGTGCAGACACCACACTGGCACAGTGCACTACAGCCCTGGATTCAAGCAACTGCCCTGCTTCAGCCTCTGAGTAGCTAGGGCTATAGGCCTATGCCACAGCTCCTGGCCAAAAAAAATAAGATAAAATAAAATTTAACTGATAATAAGTATTGAAAAAGTTGTGGAGTATCCACCCTAGGGAAATATTTGCACATGTGTATATGGAAGCTTCAAACTGCAGCAATGTTTATGAACACACAGAAGAGGATTCATTTTCCTAAAAGCTAAATATAGATTTACCATTTGACCCAGAAATTCTACTCCTTGGTATATATTCAAAATAAATAACAACATATGTCCCCACAAAAAGTTGTACAATACATGAATGTTCACAGCAGCATTATGTATATAGCCAAAATGTAGGAACAACCCAAATGTCCATAAACTGATAAACAAAATGTGGTATTATCCATACAACAGCCATGAAAAGGCATGAAGTACTGATACATGCTACAACACAGATAACCTTGAAAATGTCACACCAAATGAAATAAGCCAGTAACAGAAGGTCACAGAGTATATGATTCCACTTAGATGGAATGTCCAGAACGGCAAATTTCTAAAGACAGAAAGTAGATTAGTGGTTCCTTAAGGGTAGAGGAGAGGGTAAAGGTGGAGATGGGGAGGTGACTGCTGAAGGGTATATGAAGTTTCTTTTTGGTACAGCTTGATCTGAAAGGCATAACTCTCCAAGATATACTATGTGTGAGGGGGAGTTAAAGAATATTATGGTATGACACTATTTATTTAATTAAAAAATTAGAAACATAAAACAAAACTACGTCGTTTCATATGCATTTAGCAAACATATCCAAATACCACAGAAGATGTTTGGAAAAATAAAGTAGAAAACTGTGGTTGTCTCTCTGTGCTAACCATTCAGGAACAAGAACTGGGGATAGGCGTGTGAGGGTGTGTGATTAAGAGAGACTTGTTTTACATGTACTGCTTAAACCTTTTACCAAAAAAGTATTAGTGAGGCCAGGCGTGGTGGCTCATGCCTGTAATCCTGGCACTCTGGGAGGCCGGGTCAGGAGGACTGCTTGAGGCCAGGAGTTCGAGACCAGCCTGAACAAGGGCAAGACCCTGCCTCTACAACAAACAGAAAAATTAGCCAGGCGTGGTGGCGCGTGCCTGTAGTCCCAGCCAGCTACTTGGGAGTCTGAGGCAGGAGGATCACTTGAGCCCAGGAGTTGGAGGTTGTAGTGACCTATGATGACACCACTGCACTGCAGCCTGGGCGACAGAGTGAGACCCTGTCTTTAAAAAAAAATAGTATTCATGCATTTTTTTTGCACACAAAAATATATTAAATATATAAAGAAAGAATAAATAAAAAGAAAAGGATCTGGAAAGAATCAAGCCAAACTATAAATAAAGAAGACTTCCAAGAAAGGAAGTGGATCATGGGGTTGAGATGTATGATGAGAGAGCCTTTCTGCTCTGACTGTCTCTGTAGTTCTTTACCTCAATGAGCCTGTATCGATTTCTGTATTGACTTACAATTTCCAAAACATTTTAAAAATAAAAGATGATAAATTTTCTGGTAATCCTCCCATAGTAGTATTGTCAAAATTGGTATGTGAAATATTGAGAAATAAATCTTCTGAAAGATATTTCCTTTTCTGGAAATGACTGTCATATATGAGAAAGCCTTACTCAAAGCTTAACACCTCATGGCCAAGAAACATAGGAAAAAATGCTCAATATCACCATTCATCAGGGAAATGTAAATTAAAACCACAATGAGATATCACTTTACTCCTGTCAGAATGGCTATTATTAAAAAGTC